GGCCAGGGTAGCATTTCTGAATTCTAGCAGCATGCTCAGCGAGTTTGTCTAGCGGGACGCTGTCATTTAGCAGTGCTAGGACCTGCTGCATCGGATGTTGTAACTTGTCCATCCAGATGCGGCGGAAAATTTTGTCATCTAACGTGCGACCTGCTAGCAAGTGGCGCATGTGTCGCATGAGTGCGGAGGGTGTCTGATCACCAAGCTTCACATTGTTGAGGAGCTGGTTGAGCTTTCTATCGGCAGATTGTGCCGTGCGCCTGAGGAAAGCCTGTTTCAATTGGGTATAAGCCTGATCCCTAGGATTAGGATCGAGAAGATCCTGGACTGTGTATGCAACGTCAAATTGTGGAGACTGTACTACGTACGAGTAACGCGTACGCTCGCTGGTAATACGGTGCGTTTCAAAAACGGCTTCGATCTGCTTAAACCAGACGGTAGGGTCGCGAACCTCGTAAGTTGGCAGCTTAATGGAAATCTGAAAAGCATTGGGTTCGTCCCTATCGAATGATTCGTATGACATGGTAGAAACAGTGCCATCGGAGTCGACTTCGTAAAAAGGTGGATCTTGATCTGCCATGTTGAAATGCGCGTGAACGACAAAAGCGAACACGAAAAGCAGTTGCGCGGAGTAAGTTGCAAAACGTGGATAACAGTAAAAACGGGGTCACCAAATTTGTAGCGGCTTAATCTACAAGATGTATAAAGCACTTATTAGAAGAGACGCAACGAGAACTTCCTAGTGTAGGACTAACTTGCAGTAACTAAATTACCGCACTACGCTATTGGAAAAAGGTAAAAATATTGCATAAAAGTGATAACGTAAATAAACGTTACGACTCACTAGATCCTCACGATCCTTGAGTGCAGTAGTCAGGAAATTGACTTGCTGAAGGATGAATTTATAGCGTTGGGATCTACGCTCTTCCGTTCAAAGTTGGAATGGATGCGAAGAAAAACACGCGTTCGAATCACCGTTGATTGATCTTGAGCCCGGAGATGATCACCAGAAAATGGTGTCGTTGACGGGCGAAGATAACATCGACCGGTGAGGTTTGAATACTGTGAGAGGTGCAATAGTGTAAGCAGGAAATGCTTTGAAGACTCCACGTGATGGGGAAAGCAGAAGCGTGTATTTCAAGTCTTGCGGTCAAACCAAAAATTGTGTTAATTTAACCAAAAACGTACAGGTGAGGCGAAGGGCCTACATGCTTTATTTTGAAGGCAATAGCCAAAATTTTCAGCAAAAGTGGCTCCATTCAGGGGAGCAAGGGATAAGTTAAGACAAAATATAAGGTTAAATGTCACAGCGTAGTCAAAGTTAAAGTTAACACGATATTTACCTCTGTTATGGAGACCGGTCAGCTTTCATCTCCGTTTCCGTTTCTTTACACGTGAGGTAGGGTGCTAGGAATAAGTGTACAGAATGCTGATATGCCGACGTACGGCAAGGCATATGACGGAAACTTCGGCCAATGTACGGGTTGACTTCGCAGCCATTAGCTCATAGTGAAGAGGGTGAGCGAACTCACTAAGGATGCGATCAGCAAATTATTTGACCGTTTTAAAATGTCACTGTATTATAATGTCAGCCAAAAAAACAAAGTAAACACCGGCAGCTGAAGAGAGCATTCGGAGGATACGTTTAAAAGTGATCAGGTCTTTTTAAAGTAAGGCTGGAAAAATGACTTGAGAGCAGTAAAGAATGAGGGGGAGAATGCAGGCATCTATAAATCGCCAGGTTAGGACCTGCGGTGTGTGATATGAACGCAAGCGGCGGATATTACATAATAGTTTATGGATTTTAATAAAAAAGCCTTCAACATGCAGAGAACATGAAAGGTTAGATACCAGAGTTAAACCAAGGTACCGGAGTGAGGATACCTCGTTGGACAGAATGTTGGACAGAATGTTCTCATTTACTCTGACGATCGCTTCTCGTGTGGAGCCGAAAGCTCAGAATACAAATATCGTTCCAGAGATCGCGTCTTCCTCTTCTTTACAACAAGAACCTGGGGCACGCATATTTGCTTCTATTTTTGAGAATGTCAATAGTTTCAGGACTAGGAGGGGTTGCAGTCGAAAAACGCACTGGACTGACTTCCGCTCGTTAATTAGAAGGCCATTTGCTGACGACCATGCTGTGACGTGATCCTGGCCATCCTACAGTACTTGGAGATGTATCTGGCTTTTGGGAGGATGGCCAACAACCATTATCGGTATATTTAATAAACAGACATTCGTTTGGCGATCGTACGTGGTCAGTGTGGAGGGAGATCGGGTGAGGAGATAATAAAGACCCTTCGAAAACTCCACAGTTGTTGGGAGGGACAGTGAATTTTCGCTTGCCACACTGAGTGAATCGAGTGCGGGAAGTGAAATAGCTCCCAAGCCAAGAGACAACCCAGCCGAGAGAGCCGCATGCAGAAATTTTATTCAATAGAAGTTGGCGCGGAATGGTATTAAAGATTGGGGAGTACTCAAGAAAAGCACCTCCGTATGCATGGCAGCCTTTATCTAAGTCTTTTAGAGCAGAATGGACTACCAGAGCAACAGTGTCTAGTGTACTACGCCCAGCCTTATACGCAAATTGGAGGGATCGGAAAAATCGGAGGAAAACAAAGTTATTATGTCTAAGACAACTCTTTCTGCAAGTTTCAATAGCACAGAAGGGCAGGCAATTGGACGAAAGGATTTGGGACCAGAAGAAGAGAGTTTTCGAGATGGGAGTGATTCTCACCGATCGCCAATCATCGGGAGTCTTAGACTCGAGGAAGGATATGTTGATGAGGTGTGTCAATGCAGGGGCTAGCTGGATTTCAGGAGAACCGGTGAGATCACGTCTGGACCGGCAGCTGTTGAACCTCAAACCTCTTTAAGATGTTTCATAACTGCTGCCACAGACATAGGAGCAAAGACACTTGGTAATAAGGAAAAAGCGTTTGCTGGAAGATGGGAGTGTGTGGGAGTGTGGATGAGGTTTGCATTTAAACGATATAAATATAAGTCAGCACTAACATATGCAAGTGTGTTCCGCTGACCAGTTAGACGCTTAAGACTCTTCCCAGTTTCATCCAAGGAGAGAGGAGACGAAGATGTGGACGAAGTAAAATGCTGACAATTAAAAAGGTCATCCAGTCTGGAAATCTCACGCTTTATAAGGACGTTTACGTCCTTTAGTCTTTTACGTAGACCTAGTTTGTAGACGACTTCCTTTTGGCGTCTCAAGGTTTTTAAATGGGGTGAATAAATTCTGTCAGGTCTAACCATAACAGTATCAAGGGGACAGTGGATATTAAAAATGCCATTTAAGAAAGTTGTAAGGTTATTAGAGCATGACTCGACGTTCGAGTGTTCAAGAAGGGCAGGAAGGTTTTCGGATATGACAGTCTGAAGTAAACAAATATTATGTGGGAACGTGTCGCGAACCTTAGATTTCCTTGTGGGTATTGCTAACAGCCATTTATTAGAACTGGAATAGATGGTTATCAAGCACAATAATACAGAATAGTCTGAGCCTGCTAACGAATCTCTATTTTTGACAGCAAAACGCTCGGGATAGTTGGTCAATATGTGGCTAAGAGGGGCGTCAGAACGAGTGTTAAAGGAAACTTAGTCATTCAAATCTTACAAAATAAGGGGACCTAGGTTCACGCGGTTGAAGTCAGTACATAAAACAATAACATCCTCGCAAGGCAGTGCGGCAAGTTTAAGGGAAATAAAATATAAAACCGGATTTACGCATTTAAGAAGA